AACCAAAAGTACTGCTGTAATAGAAACGTTTGTCTGAATTGAAGCACTTAGGGGAGCTATTATGAATTTGGGTGAAGGGACAGCCTCTAGTTAAAAATTGTCTACCGCTGACAGTGCATCTCTGCCAGTTCGGAAAGGCTGAGAGAACTGGCAACTTTGGAGTGTGGCTTCCTCCTGGGAAGGTTACAGTCCCCTAGCAACAAGTATCACAATTCTTAACAACAACACTCACTAAATCCCAGTGCTTTATAACAAAGCTGACTATAAACTCTAAACTTTAGATATGATGTACGTACTTCCTGTCTAGTTAAGAGATATAGTGATAATAATTAAGAGTAAGAAATAGAAAAAGATGAAGATGTGATTTTGTAAAAATTCTCTTGTTAGATCTCTGTGTTAAATCTTTAGGTGTTTGCTAAGTTAAATATATGCTAATGGTAGCCCTATATAAGTTTGTAAAATAGATCTATAGAGTTCCTTTAAGAATATAAGCTTGCAAGAAATATCTAAGGTAGTCTTAAAACATGTAGTAATAAGCTTGTAAGATGCTAGATGTAAGTTTAAATAAGAAATAAGATGGAATGAATATAAGTAGTATATAAGAAGTAATAAGAAATATATTTGCTAAAGTAGTTCTATAGTTTCCTTAAGGAGTATAAATAAGTAGATGTTAATATGTTATATGTGAGTTTGTAAAATCTAAATGTTGAATGTGAATCTAAATGCTTTGCAAGGCAAAAAATGTTATATGTGAGTTTGTAAAAAAGTGTAAATGTTAAGTGTGCATCTATTCTTAATGTATATGGTGAAAGAACCTGAGACACAGAAGGTAGTGTCCTAGTAGACTGCAAAGTAGGCAGTCTGAATGGCTTCAAAAGCTCCAGAAGCCACTAAGAAGCTAAGAATGGCGGACGCCAGAACCAGCACAAGGCATCCACAGCTGAGATCCGTGGAAAATTGACGCAACACAAAAAACCCTGAGCTAACATCAAAAATGGTGCGGTTTAGAATACTACTGTACCTAAAAAGGTCTCTGGCTTGAGAATAAGTTCAGAGATGCTTGTTTGAACAAAAATTGTTAACTGCAAAAAGTTTTGGTTGAAAAAACGTCTCTTCATATTTTGAAGTGAAAGCCTAATACCAGAATTTATTTGTTTGAACTTTTTGAACTTAAAATGAGATAAAACTACAAAAAGATTTTGGTTATGGATTTCTTCATATTTGGAAGGCTAGTACCAGAATTTATCATTTGAATTTTGGGACTTAAGAAGTGAAATGAACAATAGAGATTTCATTGCAATGGGACAATTTTGAGTTTACTTATAGTAATGACCTAGGAACTGTTTTCTGGAATTGGGTTAAAAATGGAACTGTTTAAATGAAGAAATTTATTATTTCTACCTAGACTCAAGATGCAGTTTTGTGTATGCATATATGCTGGTGATTCATGAATTGTTCTGTGTTAAAAATGCAATTGTTTTGTAGAGCTGTTTATGTAAAAATGGAATTACTTATGGAACTGGTTTTGTGTTACAAATGGAACTGTTTAAACAGAAAAGTTTGGGTTTTATAACTAGGCTTGAGATTCTGCTTAAATTATAAAAGGGAGAGTTAATATTCCTTAGTCTAATTTCAAAAGTTGTTTGAGTGGATTAATGTCATGTTTTTGTTAGTAAGAAATGCAAATGGGGTATATTAAGAGACTACTTTTAAAGTGTAAAGAGTTTTATTAAGAAACTGCTTTTGGATGTTTTGCTAAGTTTTCAAAGTTAGATTGAGAAGATTGCTTTTCAATATGGGTTTGTAGGAATTGTATGTTTGGGTTCTTCTAACTAGGTTTGAGATTTTGTTTAAAAAATTATAAAGAAAAGGAGGAGTTATGAGGTTGAATTGTTTGCAGAAATTATATTTACCCTATTGATATTAATGCACCCTGGTTTTGTGGAGTTAAGGAATATTTAAGTTTGATGTGAATACATCGAAGTTTTTCCTATGTTCTGTTAGCAAGAAAATTCAAATGATTGAGTTAAAGTTGTAAGACGGAGAAAATTGTTAACTATATATAGCACCATATATACTAATTCAAATGGTTCTGTTAAGAGTTTGCTTTGAGTTGCAAGACTGAGAGAATTGTGACTATGTATAGCAATATTTATGTTAACCTGTTAATGGTAATGATGAAGCTAAGGGATTAAGTTTGTAGTCGCTTAAGAGTTTTTGGTTTAGAAAGGGCTTGAGGCAGCTAAGACTGCTGTAGTCAACTTGGACCTAATTCAAAAGAGAAATGCCATCTTTATCATCCTCTACTCCCATACTGGGAGGTGTAACAGCTATGGAGATTGCTGTAAGCCATTAATAGTTATTTTTTATATATTAAGAAAGGGTGACCTATGGGAGCCCGTTCTGGGGTTCCTGTGGCTTTACCCAGCAGGTCCGCATAGAGGATGATCAGGACCATGGGCCTGAGTGCAGGTGTCTGAGATGGTCTGCACTTGGCTGTGCTGGGAGAGGAGGTCTTTTGCTCCACCCCTTGGCATCTCTATAAAAACCCTGGGGCAGAGACAGTCCCATTGGAACAGGTTCCAGGCCCTCTTGAGGCTATTCTTTATTTTCTATCTGTTTATCTCCGCAATAATCCTTCTATCTAATATTTCCTGCTGCTCACACTCAAGAAAACTCTGGGGAACTGTGGTGGTGGTTGGGTAAACGCCCCACAGTTTACATGTAATTAATTAAAAGGAATCAAGACTATACTTATATGTTCTTTTATTCACTCATAAGCCAGTTTAGCTGACACCCTTTGAGGAACTTTAGCATGTAAAAATGTTACATAACATACACTTAAAAGTGAGTAAGAAAGAAACCATAGTGTAGCTAGAGCTGGACCCACAGACCACATGGCACCTAAGCAATTCCTTGAAAACTACTGTGAGCACTCCAACAAGAAACTCAAAGGACATAGAAGATGGATGTTTCCTCAGAGTGTTTCCATGGTACAGACATTCCTATCAACCAGGAAGATCAACCTAAGCACCTAGGGGAGAGAGAGCTGTTCTAAATCCCTGCAGGAAGTTCCTGAGCCAGTGTGTGAGGAGAGTGTACTGTACAGGGGACATGTCAGACTCAACAGTGGGTGTCATTTACCTGTGGCTCAGTCCCACACAGGCTACCACTGACACCTCGAGTTATTCATGTGGAATGATCCACAAATTGATGGAACCAGTGAATCTACACTGAAAATTAATTCTGTCCTATAAGTGAACTTCCCCTGTCACACACACACCAGCACCTTCACCAACATACAATGACCTGCTAAAACACACCACAAAGGGGGAAAACAGTGACAACAGATTCACAATTCACTCCCAAGGGCCGGATGTGACAGTGGTGAACAGATGCATGGGCCTGATGTGAGAGTAGTGGACAAAATGTGTGCAAGTGATTTCTAAGTCACCAAAGTGAACTCCTAAGGGAGAAGAAACCTCTTGGGAAATGGCTCCAGAATGAGATCAAGGTCCTTTCAGATACAGAGCTGGGGAGAGCTGGGGTTTCTGGGACTCACTGGCCAGAACCATGGCCAATTCAGAGAGCTGCGGCCAGTGAAAGAACTTGTGTCCTAAAGCAAGGTGGATGGAACCTGTGAGTCTACACCAAGGTTAATCTATGTCCTATGAGTAACACACACGCACTCACGCACGCGCAAACACACACACACACACACCCCTTTACAAACATACAGTTCACCTACAAAAACACTCCTTAAAAAAGTAATAGCAAATTCAAAATTTTTCACCCAAGGATCTTGACTTTTCCTATGTAAAAGACTCTTTTCAAACATAAAAAAAAAAATACAAAAATTCCTTTTTATCTCATGTGTATGAGTGCTTTATGTCTGTGTGTGCTTTTCTGCACCATGTGTGTGCAGTGCCTGTGGAGGCCAGGAGCCTTCCTGGAATCCCCTGGAACAACAGTTACAGAAGGTTGTGAGGTTCCAACCTGGGTCCTCCAAATGAGCAGCTGGTGCTCTTAACCTTGGAGTCTTCTCTCCAGAACCCAGAAGCTGCTTTTCCTTGGGAGAAGTTTTTGACTTGGAGAACTTTCCTGAAGGTCTCAGGTTCCAGTGTCAAGGAGATAAGGAGAAAAGCACAGACTTCCTTCCCCACAAAACAATTTTGTCTTCAACAGGGAGAGAGTAAAAGGGAGGAAATGGAGGTGGGAGGGGGGGTGACTAGGGAGGGCTGGGGGAGGGGAGACAGTGGCTAGCAGAGGGACAGGAACTGGAGGGTGCAAGGACCTTTGGGGGTGATGGGGAAGGGACCTGGAGGGGCAAATGAGTGTGGAATGGAGGAGAAACTGGAGAAAGAGGAAGGAGAAGTGAGGAAGAGTAGGCTCCAGGTCCCAGGCAACCCAGAGGGAAGGTCTAGGAGACTGGGCACGTGTAGAAATCTAGAGAAGCAGGGCAAACTGCCAAAGCAAAGATTCTGGGCGGTCTGGTGATCAGGGCAGGAATGACAGACGCTGTGGGCGTGGAAACCTGACGGGGACAAGCGCGGGTAAATCCAGTGCATTCTGCAGAGACCCACGTGAAGGTACCGACTTTATTCGGTCTCTCTCTTTCCTGATTCTGTTGCCCACGGTCCCTGAGGGCTCAGCTGCCGGTGAGTGAGGTGAAGGGGCACGGGGTGTAGGATGGCAGGACAGCAGTGTCCTCGCCTCTCAGTTCACATCGCGCTCCCAGCGCCCGATAGTGAAGTAATCGCAGTGTGCTGGGAGGGAGGATCAGAGCCGCGGGGCCCCGAGGGACCCCCGAAGAGATGCAGGAAAAGATGGGAACTAGGAACCCGCAAAGCTGGAGCCCGGGAAGGACTGAATTCACAGCCCGGGTGCCCGGGACTTCGCGAATCTCAGCACAGGGTCCTCTGCGGGGCTGTACTGAGGACTCCCCGATTCTCTCCGCAGCTTCAGTCACACTCCTCGGTAGCGGGTCGCAGGAAGGAACCATGGCAAAGGCTGCAGCCACCGGACGCAATCTTTCCCTAGTTCTGTTCCTTATTCTTTCACTGAGCTGCTTGGGATCCTCACAGCCCAACGGTGAGTTCCCGGGATTTAACTGGGGGAAGTGGGGGAGGGGAGCATCGGACTATTGAGTCAGGAAGGTCAGGGTCTCCTCACAGAAGCTCCTGGGCTTCTCTTCACTATCACCAGGACTTAAGTCTGGACACCCTGGTCCTCACCACGTCCCTCCCCGATTTTCTTCAGTGCATTGACAAAGTTAGGGGGAAAGTCACCGCGGGAGGGCCGGGAAGGGGCTGCGTGAATGAGGAGGGCAGGGGAGCAGAGAGGGTAGCTAGTGACGCCCTCAGCACCACTGGGATCAGCTGAAGCCTAAACCAAGTCACCAGTGCAGACCCTCCAGGAGGAGGTCTCAAACAGCTCCCCTGGACCTAAGGCATGTTGAACTCTGAAGACTGCCTTCCCGGGGATTCCTCACAAGCCCTCCACCATCCTGGGACCTCTTTGTCCTTGAACTTTCTTTCCCACCTTCCCATGGTATTCTTCAGAAGATCACACAGAGGCTTCCAGGGAGAAGGCAGCCACAACCACATAGGTTCCTACTTTGCTTCTCTCTCTCTCTCTCTCTCTCTCTCTCTCTCTCTCTCTCTCTCTCTCTCTCTCTCTCTCTCTCTCTCTCTCTCTCTCTCTCTCTCTCTCTCTCTCTCTCTCTCTCTCCCCCTCCCTCCCTCCCTCCCTCCCTCCCTGCCTCCCTGCCTCCCTGCCTCCCCCTCCCTCCCCCCCAAGTCCCTCCCTCTCTCCTTTTTTCTTTCTGTTGTTTTGTTTTAGGACAGGATTCCACACTGTAGCACACACTATAGAATCTACAGTAATTCCTTCTGTCCCCCAGTCTTCCAATTTCCAGGATTCCAGATTTGTCCCACCAAGCTCAGTTCCCTTCCCTGCCCATCCAGCCTTCCCCACTTTCCCATTCTTAAAGTGCATTTTACCCCTGTTTTCCACTAGGTGGCAATCTGTGCTCATGCCTGAAGACACCTCAGCTAATCCAGGGCTAGCACACCTTGTCCACTATGGAGGACTCTGGCAGTGGTCCTGGGTCGGGGGGTTTGAAAGATTCCCCCCCTTGCTCCCAAGCCCATAGAGTCTACCTTGTGGGGAGATGGCATCAGAGACTGGTGTTCATTTAGGAAGGAGGGGGCTTGTTTTTTCTGTAAATATTTTCAACTTGTCAAACCTCACTCTATCTGTCCTGCATCCAATACTCAGTTCTGCATTCAGTGTGACAGACTCAGAAGGCAACAAGCTGATGAATGGGACAGCAGATTTGTCCTCTGTCCATTAGGGGATTAGGGTATATCCCATGCACCAGTCTTGGTGCCCATCCCCTCAGAGTGTCTTCAAAAGTACAGCCAAAGATGCCTGTTTCCCAGTCAGCAGTGGGTTCTGTGCTGCCTGTGACTTCTGGGTCAGCTGGAAATGACAGGAGGAGGTCCTGGCTTTAGGGCATCTTGATCTCTCCACTGCTGTCCAGTGGATTCCTTGGATCCCATGGCCATAGAGCACACTCCTTGAAGGCTGAGGAGCTTTCTGAGGGAGAGGTGGCAGCGTACTTGAGAACTAACCTCAGTCACTTCCTCTAGATGAGGTAAGATCTCCACAACCATCTGGGGACCAGGAGATGTTCTGTCAGACAAGAGTCCTCATCTCTCCCTGCTAGGCAGCCCTCAACACACAAGTGACTTGTCATGTCCCTGAAACAATGTCTTCCCTTCTGGACATCTTGTCTGAGTGTGACCTGTCCACCTAATGACTTAGTGGGAAAGAGCTCACCTCACAATGTCTGCCTGAGTCCTGATGGGCCTTCTGATAGCTAAGGACCACAGACCACTCTGTCTGTTCCCAGTACCTGCCAGGAGCCACAATTTAATGGAAACTAACTGGTACAGGTGGGTCAGCCTGGTTTCTGCCCAAGTAAGGTGATTCTCCAATTAGACACTGCCATGAACTCCATCCAGGGCCATTTTCTAGAACTGATGCCTCAGTCTGACAGATTGTCCTGAGTCATAGGGCACTAGAGGGAGGTCCAGCCATGTTCTTCATGGATGTATTGTCTGGCTGCTTTCCAGCTACAAAAGCAGAGATGAGCAGGTGTGACTGAGACTGTCTGGCCTGCAAAGACTTCAATATTGACATGATAGCTGCATTAATTACTTTCTACTGCTGTGATCAAACACCACAACCAAGGTAACACACAGAAGGAATGTGTTTTGTGGACTCATAGTTTCAAGGGGACAAGAGTCCATCACCACCACAACAGGGGACATGGCAGCAGGCAGGCATGGTGGCTGGAGCAGCAAGCTGAGAGCCCACATCTTAAACCTCAAGCAAGATGCAGAGTTGGAGGAAATGAGAATTGCACCAGGCTTTGAGGTTTCAAAGCCACACCCCCAGTGATATACTTCCTCAAGCAAGTTCATATCACATAAGTTATCCAAACAGCTGCCACCAACTGGGGACCAAGTATTCAAACACTTAAGCCCACGGAGGACAGTCTCATTTAAACCACTACATCAGACATTCACAGTAGCATCTAGGGCTTCCTCCCTGAGTGACAGGGCAGAACAAAGTGACACAGAAAGAATCACTGCACGTGCTGTGGAGCTGAGTGGTCCCTCCTTGTTGGGACCTGATCTGTCCTCCTAGGAAAGCAGTCTGTTTCTGTCTTTGAAGTTGTTTACTTTTCATGTTTTTAGATAAGTATTTATTTTATGTGCATAAGATCTTGACTGCATTATGTATGTGTACCATGTGTGTGTTTGGTACTCTTGAAAATCAAAACAGAGCACACAGTTCCCTATGACTGGAGTTATAGGCTCATGTGAGCTGCCATGTGGTTGCTGGGAATGAACCTGGATCTTCTGCAAGAAAAGCAAATGTACTTAACTGCTGTGCCATCTCTCTAGCCCTAATAGTTCAGTTTACACAATGGGCACAGGAGCCCTGGGATGGTCCTTTCAGACTCCTGTTCATTTATTTTGTCTAGTTACTAAAATCCAACCACATCTGGGTTGGCGAACCATCTATCTATAGTTAGGATTTTTGTGTTCGGTTAGCCATGACCCCCTCAGCAGTTAGGATTCAGGTTGTGTCTTCCTTACTCATCAATGGACCACTGTCCTTGATGTTACTGCCTTCTGACCACTCCACCTGATGGGATTTTTCTATACCATGCTGCTGGGATTCAGGAATATGGTTTCCCATGCCAGCCTTGAGCCATCATCATCCCTGAGCTTCCAGCAGTGCTGGTGCCCTGCCCCCTGGCAATCCTTGGTGTGCTTCTCAACAGGGATGTGCCAGCATCCCACAGAGCTGCACGCTTGCCCCTCCGAAATGCTTGTTATTACATCCACTCTGACCCATGCGCTTCTCAGAGAGTTTTGATCACCACTCTTCTACTACCAGATTTAACCAGCCTAGATTATCTTTGTCCTGTAGGGTGGACTATCCTCTGACCAGTCCCAGGAAGCCATCCCTGGAGCACTGCACTATGTCCAGGGGATCTGGCATGTGTGGTTCTGGTTTCATTCTGTTGCTGTGAGAAAACCCTTGGACCAAAAGCAACTTTATTATTATTATTATTATTATTATTATTATTATTATTATTATTATTATTACTAGGCACATATTTTGAAGTCAGGAATGCTTTCTTTAAATCACCATAATTTACTGTTTTTGCTTCTGCAAAAAACACTTCCCTTTTATCAACTTTCTAACTAGATTTTTCTTAGAAATACCTGATGCATATTTCATTGTGATCCATCTTCAAGTGCCAAGTTTGTGACTATATTCACAACCCAAAAGCCTGTTCTCTGCTCCGGAGAGCTCATGTTCATGTCCAGCAAATCTTCCAGTGAGGTGTACTGAGAGAGGAAGAATCCCAGCCATCCAAGGACAAATCCAAACCTTAGGAGTGGCAGGAAGGGGAAAGTGGGCGGGGAACTGTGAGAGAGGAAGAGAACAGGTGGTAGAAGAGGCAGAGAGGGGAAGGGAAGAGGAAGCTGGTCGAAGGGGACAGGAAAGGAGGTCCCCAAACCTGCAGCAGTCCACCTCAGAGCAGAAGTTTTGAGGGGATCAGAGAGAAAGAGGGTTTTTTAACATCTTTTTGCATTTTTTAGTGTAATTATATTGCAAACTTGTTAGAAGTTCCTTTTAAATTATTATTTATTTTGGATTCAGGCTCACACCCACACAGGAGAATGTATATGTGCATCCTCACTAGGACTTCCTGCCTGTTTGTGCAGTCTGCTGAACAGAACAGCTCTAGGACATTGTGTCTTCTGCTGCTGTTAGGGAAAGGCTGGGAGACCAGGGGCCATAAGTGTGCTGGGAACAACTGCCTGAGGAAGGGGAGAGAGATCGGGGCTTCAAGCAGGTCACAGACAGTGATCTTTTCTTGAGAATGAGTTAGGGGTGTGATTTAACAGGGGAGAATCTGAGATCTGATGCCCAGTGTTGTTGTGTGAAGGACCCAGTGGGAACTCAAGTGAGCACTGTGTTCACAGGTGCCAGCACTCCTTCCCAGGCCAAGTTGCAGCATTTCTCCAGGAGGCCTTTCCTGAACTCCCAGGCTCCATGTGGAATTTACCACGTGTTCTATGGTGCCTCCTTTTCCCTGTGTGTTCAGTAGATTTTCAGTCCCAGGAACAGACACTATCTGATATATTTTATTCCTCAACACTTGATAAAAGTCACTAGAAGTGCTTGTGAGATAAATCCCCCTGGTGACACTGTGTGCATCTGAGGGGTCCTACCACCCTAAGACAGTCAAAGATGGCACAGAATAAGGATCCAGATAATGATGGACATCTTGACTAGAGCCTTCTCTTTCTCCCCTTTTGCCCTTCAGAGGGATTCTGGGTGTCATCTGGGTGTCACAGAACCATGAGTCTTGTGACTTTCTGCTTCCATTTTGGACCTCACCTGCATGTTTCTCTCACAGATACACACTCTCTTAGTTGCAACATCACTGTCAGAGTTCGTCCCACACCTGGACAGCCCTGTTATGAAGCACAGTGCTCACTGGATGGAGAGTCTTTCCTTCGGTATGATAATGACAACAAAGCCACACCTTTGGGTGACCTGGGAAAGGCGATACATGACACTCAAGTGTGGACAGATTTGATCCAAAGGCTGGAATACTTGGGGCAAGAGCTCAGGAAGAAGCTGGCTGACACCAAACAAGAGACGACTGACCCCAGTGGTAAGTGTGGGATGGAGTTCAGAGGCAGAGACAAGCGGCAAGAGAGAGGAAGGGCAGAGCACGTGTGGGAATGAGATGGTGGTTGTACCTGTGGGAAAGAGCTGAGCATTGGCCCAACCTGGGAAGCATATGGTACCCAATGGGTAACCAAGTCATGTGGAAATGATACTGGCTCATAAGCCAGGGAGAAAAGTCTTGACCTTTGAGGAGGTGATGGATCTATCAAAAGAGAAGAATGATGGCTTTGTATGTGTTTTGCAGGTCACCCCACTTTACAGGCCATCGTGCATTCTAAGTACAAACAAGGACACATCATTGGTGCCTCCTGGCGATTTAATGTCAGTGGAAAGTACTTCTTCATCCTGAACACAATGAATATGAGCTTGACACCAATTAGTCTTGAAGCCAGAGGTATCATGAATGATGAGCAATTCATAAGAGATCTCAAGGTAATCTCCACAGCAGACTCCAGTCACTGGCTCAAGGAACTCTTAAAGCACCAGAAGGAAAAGCCAAGTAGGTATTACCTAGATTAACAGATGGCAACTCCATCAAATTTGATAGACGGGTTGTGTGATTACTTGGTGGTCTTCCTGTCTGGGAGTCATCGATGACCACAAAGAGTTCTTTTCCACCTCACCTCCCAGTGTTTCTCATTCCCTAAATACCAATGATTCAGGCACTCAGGGCCTGCTAACGGGCCCCAAGGTTGTCTGCATCACTGTAAACTTCCAGCCTTTACTTCCTCACTTATAGCTGCCTTTCCATCAGCTCCATCACTTTGAAAGGTTTCATTATCCTTCTCTGGCACAATTAAATACTACCATTTGCCCCAACATCCAGAAAGTTCTACCCACAGTAAATATGTCACATTATTTGATGGTTTGATAGGCATTTGCTTTCTTTGGTAAGGAAATAAACTCTGTAAGGACATTGTACACACAACTCTACTCCTCTCTCTACTCAGGACCTTATAAATAGTTATTAAACATGAGTCCCTCAGGTTGCCTAGAGAGAGAAAGTGTTGAATGATGTGTGTTTTTAGCTTTAGTTTTAGTAATTTTCCTGATTTTTTTTTTAAGGACCAACATCAAGGGCCCCAGGTATCTATCTTCCACCTATCATAGATGCCACCCCTCATCCATCTACCAGGCAGTTTCCTAATAACAAAGAATCCATCATCATAGCAGTAGTCATCTCCATCATCATCATCCTTATTGTTATTCTCATTTGCATGTTTGTGAAGAGGAAATGTTGTCCCCAAGGAGGTAAGGAGGTAAGGCTGGGGTGTCACTCTGGTTCTTGGTAGGGTTAGTCTGCTGAGGACTTCCCACTGGGAATCAGGGATGGGAATTCTGATCCTCATGCTAGCATAGCACAGACCTTACCCACTGAACTCTCTTCCCATCCCCCCAAAATAACCTGTTGACAGTCTGGTTACCAGTTCAATATACTATCTTCATCTCAGACAAGGAGAACTAAATGTAACAAGCTTCAGAACACCTCACTTGCATGTACTCCTATCATGGCCCTTAGAGGGACCCTTACAACGCATTCATTCCAAAAACAATTACAAAGGTGTTTTTACACAGTCAACTAGGACTGCCCATTTACTCTTTCTGTCTCACTTCTCTCTGTCCCACATGCAACTGAAAGGCTGTTGACACTAGAAATGGATCTGTCAGAGAAGTGGTTGGGTGGCCTGCACTCAAAACCACCTTCATTTGTCAGGGGTCATGGTACATCAGGGTACAAGCTAAACGGTGACTTTCAGACTTCTCGGCTGGGGTAAAGGGCTAATGACTTTCAGACTCAGAGTCTGGAGCTTTGGATCTCACTGTAAAACCTTTCCAGACAGAAATCAGCAGCAGTCCATGAACTATTCCATCAACTGCCACAAAGCCACAGAGGAAAGAGAGACCCATGGAGCCAAATGGTGGTGGTCCTTTTCTATAAGAAAGCAAGCTGAGCAAGCCATAAGGAACAATCCAGTAAGCAGCACTCACCCATGCCCTCTGCACCAGCTTCTGCCTCCTGATTCCTGCCCTGTTTGAGTCCTGTTCTGACTTCCTTCAACTGATGGACAGTGATTTGGCAATGGAAGCCAAATAAACCCTTTCCTCCCTAAGTTCCTTTGGTCATGATGTTTCCTCACAGGAATAGTAACCCTAAATAAGACAAATTGGTACCATGATGGTGTGGTATTGTTGTGACAGTCCTGGCCATGGGTTTTGGGGAGGTTTGTAGAAGGGCTTTGGGCTAGAAAAGCTAATTCGGCATTTTTTTTTTTTTTGAGACAGGATTTCTCTGTGTAGCTTTGGAGCCTGTCCTGGAACTCACTGTGTAGACCAGGCTGGCCTCAAACTCATGAAGATCCCCCTGCCTCTGCCTCCTGAATGCTGGGATTTAAGGCATGTGCCACCAACATCCACCAATTGGGCCATTCTTTAGGAACTGTGTAATAGGAATGGAGTCCATAAAGAAAGCACTTTCAGGCTACTACTGAAAGTGCAGTTATAGTAGAAGACTCTAGCGTTTTGGAGATGCTAGGACCATGGGATGACCACCAAGAACAGCAGCAGCAGTGAGTGGAGCCAACCAGAGACTAGAAGACAAGCTGTGTGTGCCACAGAGAAGTATCTAAAGTGCTGATGGTGTGGCATGCACAGCTCAGCCATGGACCCTGTGTCTGGGTTCTCAATGGGGACTCCACCATTGGGCCTCTTCTCAGTCAAGGGTTTCTGGTGAAGCCAGACTCCTACAGACCGGATTAAAAGCAAAGTCTAAGGAACTTCAGAATGTAAGAGCGTGCAGGAAAAGGGAAGGGTTAGGAAATTCCTAGATGAGCACCCTGAGACACAAAAGCAGAAGACCTCCAGCAAAGGAATAGCAGAGATGTAAGCTATCTTAGTGTTCTATTGCTGTGTGGAGGCAATATAACCATGGCAACTCTTATAAAGGAAAGCATTTGACTGGGGCTTGCTTAGAGTTTCGGAGGTTTAGTCCATTGTCATCATAGCAGGGAGTATGGCATCACACAGCAGACATGGTGCTGGAGAAGTACCTGAGAGTTCTACATCAGCATCCACAGGCACAGAAAGAGAGGGAGACAATGGGCCTGGCTTGGGCTCTTGAAATCTCAAAGCTCACCCTTAATGACACACTTCCTCCAACAAGGCCACACCTACCCCAACATGGATATACCTCCTAATCCTTCTAAGTAATGCCACTCCCTGATGAAGAAGCATTCAAGCAGACAACAGCCATTCTTCAAACCACCACATAAGCCCACCTCCTCAGATTCCCTGTGTCCTGCACCTCCGCTCCAGACTGGGGCCTGATCAGTGGTTGTAAAGTTCGTCCTTCCCCACATGTCTACAGTGTCTTTCACACAGCCAGCATCCACACCCAGGAGGACAACAGCTGTGCCGACCCAGCCTGTCACACTGTTCCACTGTCTGCTGATAGCAAACCAAGACATGATCACACAAACTTATGTGATCTTATGAAAACTGGTGTCGTAAGAGACTTCACCTGGGGAGATACACACACACACACACACATACACACATACACACACACACACACACACACACACACACACACACACACACACACACATACACACACTCACCCACTCACCATATAAAGGGAAACTATGACAGACCAAATTTCCAACAGCACAGAGGTCCAACTTGGGAACCACTGGTTTTCTCTGGGGTTACTCACACGAGTGTGGTGAGGAGTTACTTACAGGAGCTGGGATGAATGCACAGCAGCTGCATCACTGCAGAGCCCACCTCAACACAGGCGATGACTCAGGGAACAGCAGAGCTAAAATTGGACAGCTTGCAGGCCTCTGGACAGGTCTGGAATCTTCTCTGAAGCTGATCAGAGTCTTCTTCTTCTTCTACAGCCTGGGTGGGTTCTCTAAAGTTTCTGAGTTTCACTTTCTCAAACACAGGAAATTTGCTTATTTTTGAATCTAAGGAGCCTCTCCCCTCCTCTGAAGAGAGTGTTATTGTAGGCGGAAAGACTAAAAGCAACATGTCACTTTCCATCTAGGCAGAGAATTTTGTCCTACAGACAGATTAAACATTAAAACAAACCCAAAGTGTCAACTCTGCAGAGGACCCAGGTTTTTTGATTTTCAGATAAGCTGTCTTCCATTTCCTTAGGAAGGCCTTCTTCAGAAAAAAAAAAATCACTTCACAGTTTAACACTTCTGTGTACAACCAATGAAATACAGCAGAAAGTAGAGCAGGGAGTGTCTCTAAAGTATCAGTTTCAATCATCTCTGGTATCACTCAGAAGTCATGTGGGGTTCTCCTGAGCAACCTGAGAGCTTCGGACATTCAAATCTGAAAATCAAAATCAAGTACTGCTTCCTGATGGTAAGAGCACACTACACACACTGCACTCTGCTCCAGACCAGTGGCTCTCAACCTTCTGAACTCTGTGACCCCTTAATATAGTTTTAATACAGGTCTTCATGCTGTGGTGACCACCACCATAAAGTTATTTTCATTGCTAATTCATAACTGTAATTTTGTTACTGTTATGAATTGTAATGTAAATATCTGATAGGCAGGATAACTGAAGTGCAACCCCCAAAGGGGTCATGACCCACAGGCTGAGAACCACTGCAACCATGCAGAAGGTTAATTTCTCACTGCGAGATGAAGTATGTTTTACAAAAATTAGTTTCTAAGATATATAGCCTCTCACCCAAATCTTAACACAAAAGACACTTTCTTCAGAATTGCCTTTCTTAGGAAGGGCTTGTGGAGGGCTTCAGTTTCCAATTACTGGGCCATGACTATTATGAGGACTAACAAGAGAAAAGTTTTTTTAAATAATGTAGTGAAAGACAGTTCTTAAAGGCAAGTACTACTGGGTGTGGTGGCATACTTAATCCCACCAGTCAAGAGGCAGAGGCAAGTATATCTTTGTGAGTTGAAGGCTAATCTGGACTACTAGCCCAGGCCAGCCAGGGCTACATAAATTCCTGGAGACATTACACTTCTGCTAAGCTTATCAAAAGCTACAAGAAAATTCCATCCTCTTGAACAATGATTAAAGTTCATTCCAGCCACAGAAAACTCCTTTCCTTGAACTGTGAAGAGAACTGAGACCACAAGTCATCCAGCTGGGTGAACTGAACCAGAAAGAAGGAGAAACTCCTCTGAGGAAGGGCAGGACCACTGCTTCACTTTTTCCTGAGAACAGAAAAAAGGGGTAGCCACCCTACATAAAATCAGAAGCCATAAATTTTAGATGCATAGACCAAAGGTAAACTTAAATATGCCAATGTGTCACTACAGCTGGGGACCTCAGTACTCCTCTCTCAGTGGTTAAGAGAAGTTCACAACAACAAAGACAAACTCAGGATTGGTACAGGAGCCCCAATAGGTATTTTTGCTAACATTTCGAGAACACTCCATCTTGGAAGAGCAAAATATATATTCTGTTTCAATTCATGTGGGACAGCCACCAAAAAAAGATGTTTATTTTTCTGGGTTTTGTTGTTGTTTTGTTTTGTTTTTGAGTCAGGGACTCACTACATAACCCTGTCTGTCCTGGAACTCACTATGTAAAACAGACTGGGCGTGAACTCACAGAGATCCACCTGCCTCTGCCTCCCAAGTGCTGGGATTAAAGGGGTGTGACACTCCGAAAGGTCATTTTTAAGCCACCAAATAGAGTTTAAAATATATAAAGGGTAGATTGTTGTAGAATACTTGTTCAAGATGTGTTACATTCTTTGATGCTGTGGAACATTTGTTTAATGATGCAAAGATGTGTTGCATTCTTTTATGTTGCATTTGTTTAACTCTATGAAGCTGTGTTACTTCACCTGCCTAATTGGTCTAATAAAGAGCTGAATTGCCAATAGCTAGGCAGGAGAGAGAAATAGGCGGGGCTGGCAGGTAGAGACATAAATGAGAGAGAAAAGGAGGAGAGAAAAAGAGAAGGAGAGGAGACACTAGGGTTCAGTCACCAGGCCACACAGCCAGCACTGGAGTAAGAAGAAAGGAAAGGAAAATAGAGAAGGTAAAAGCCCAGAGGCAAAAGGTAGATGGGATAATTTAAGTTTAGAAAAGCTGGCAAGAAACAAGCCAAGACAGAGCATACATGAGAATGCTCTGTCTCCGTGTATTTGTTTTGGAGCTCAGTGGTGGGCCTCCAAGAGGAAAGAGGAAAAAAGACCAACTACAGTAAACAGTCTAAAAACCATGCTACAAAAAAATAAAATAAAAATGCTGTC